GATAATGCTAGAGAGTACTTTGAGAAGGACCTAACCACGTATCTCTTAGAACATGGTGTAGTTCATCAGAGCAGTTGTGCATATACACCGCAACAGAATGGAGTTGCTGAGAGGAAAARCAGACACATTGTGGAGGTGGCAAGGAGTCTTATGGTGTGTGCTTCAATTCTTGTGCAATTCTGGGGAGATGCAGTTCTTACAGTCGTACATGTGATTAACCGTGCTCCTTCACGAACTTTGGGGTTTAAAGTGCCATTTAGCCTTCTTTTTCCAGATGGAGAGATATTTCATATACCTCTGAGGGTTTTTGGTTGTGTTTCTTTTGTTCACATTCTTGGCCCTCATCGCAAGAAATTGGATCCTAAGGCCAAGAAATGTGTTCTTCTTGGGTATGCTCAGAACCAAAAGGGGTATTGTAGTTATGACCCAGTGTCAAGGAGCAGATTTGTCACTATGGATGTTACCTTTTTTGAATCCACATTCTTCTTCTCGGGTGGTTCTCCTCAAGGGGAGAGTTTTGGGGAGGATAACTCACAATCTGTTCCTCTTCCTGTTTCTGTGGTGCCTCCATCAGTTCAGTCAGCATCTACATCAGTTCAGCCAACACCTGCACCTCCAATTTTATTACCTGAGCCACTACGGGCAGCCTCACAGCAATATCAGTGCCGGTAGATGATGGTTGATTCCACACATCCTCGACCCACACCACTCTCTGTCAGTCCTTCTGAAACTCCAGATTCGACAGATACAGTTCCAGGTATTCCTCTTGAGCCTGAGCCTGAGCCTGTTATTTTTTCTGATGATAATGTTTCTGCCCCTAACACCATTGTTGCAGCTGATCCCACTGACCTTGATCTTCCCATTGCACTTCGTAAGGGGAAGAGAAAGTGTACAACCCACTGCATTTCACACCATCTTTCCTACAGTGCCTTATCACCCTCCTACTGTGCTTTTCTTTCTTCCCTTGATTCTGTGTCTATACCCAAGAATGTTACTGAGGATCTCTCCAAACCTGAGTGGAAAACAGCCATGCAAGATGAGATGGATGCTTTGGTCAAAAACCAAACTTGGGAAATAGTTGATCTCCCCCCAGACAAGGAGACAGTCGGATGTCGATGGGTATTCATAGTGAAGTATAAGGCCGATGGCAAGATAGAGAGGTACAAGGCAAGGTTGGTAGCAAAAGGGTATACTCAGACCTATGGTGTTGATTATCTGGAAACCTTTGCACCAGTAGCTAAGATGAATTCAGTTCATATCCTTTTATCTCTAGTAGCCACCTATTCATGACCCTTGTTCCAGCTTGATGTCAAAAATGCTTTCCTCAATGGTGACTTACAGGAGGATGTATATATAGACATTCCAACAGGCTTTTATGAAAATGTTGGTAAAGGAAAGGTGTGCAGACTCAGAAAATCTCTGTATGGACTGAAACAGTCACCTAGGGCTTGGTTTGACAAGTTCAGAGGGGCACTCGTCCATTTTGGATACACACAGACACAGTTTGATCACACCCTCTTTGTGAAGAGGAGAGATGCTTTGGTGTCAATTCT